GAATCAGGAAAAATCACCGGAAAATCCCTAAAAAGTGGTATCTATACTCTACATCTGACCTCTTTGATCAAGTGTGATGTGATTTGATCAGTCACGATCATATGTCAACTTCGACGGAGGAAAGCTTACCACCTTTTGACCGGAATCGAAGGAGATTGCCTCGGAAACAGCGTCAGCATGAATCTGCCAGTAGAGCCAATCGACAGTTGGTCAAGAGGAATCCGCCGTTGTCTTCTGATGGTGGAACCGACCTTCGAATCTCTTCACCCAACACTTTCACTCGAAATGAAACACGAGATTCCTCAAAACCCAACTTTCTTCGCATAAAGTGCAGATGCCACACTCACGTCTATCCTTAATCGCATTTGTATGTTGCGAGTGTTGACAATAGCAGCCACTACAATTGATAACGCTGCTTATGGGGAGATGTATTCAGCATAATTCGTTTAACTTGGTGAAGGAGTGGTCATTGAATTCTCCCACAATGACACGAGTAGAGCTGACGTGTCCATTAGATTTCACGTATCCTTGCTTGCCAAAGAGGCGTTCTCATCTCGACTGGAGTGGACTGCAGTTTCGACCTCGCCCAGGTCTTATCAACACCCTCAGCGGGACTCAAACCATGACAGTGCAGCGTGCAAACTCGACACGGCAACCGCAACGCCGCATCGCCACGAGTGACCTTGCATCACATGGCAGACGTGCATTTCCATATCACCTTCCGTGTTGGGATTGTCGAAGAAGCAAACTTATATTTGCTATAGCAATCGACGACATTAACTTTTTCGTAAATGATTTACTGGTCGTCTCGAAGATCCACTTGAAAACGAAAAATAACGTTGATTATCGTTGATACGAGTAGCCTTCGAGTGCATCAATAGTTCTTGAATAGGAACTAATCATATCTAAAATGAGTAGCGCCAGCGATTGTAATGACAAACACACTAAAAATGTGGGTTATGAGAGGTCTCAAGCTACCTCGGTTGAGAGATTGAGAAGTCAGGAGCCTTAAAAATCTTTTCAGACGACGAAATCAGCCTTATCCTCCCTTTTGGTATGTACCTTTTGGATCTGTAAGCATGAGGCAATCCAAGCACCAAAGCACCGGCTGCAAGAATGGACAGTGCGGATATCGGTAGAACCCATCTCGGTCATTCTTTCTTCCCTCGAGGTTGCATAGACCCATTAGCAATTGGCGATTGAATTTTCCCACAATAATGACATAAGAACCCACGTTGTTAATGAATTTCGCCCGGCCCTGTCTCCTGGACTGCAATTTCGACTTCGCCTGAACTGGTCTATCAGCAGCCTCAACTGAAGTCCAACAATTGCAATGTGCTAACAAATGCGCTGTAGGGCAGATGTGAATTTCAAGGCAAACTGAGCCTCGTCCATTTCACAGTTTGTGTTCGGACTATCGATGAGACAAGCTTGTAGTTGGTAATAAAATCGAATACATTATATTTATATATATATATACATATATATTGATGTTGAGTGGTAGGCTTCAAAACTACCAAAAGATCTTGAATAAGAACCGTAGTCTAGTGGTCGTTTATGAACCTGTACCATCTGAGTAATCTGGGATAAGAATTTAGTCAAGTTAAATCGCTGAAGGAGACTTGAGGACTAACAAGTCACTTTTTACCAAAATTAAATGAATAGATCTCTCGATGCTAACAAACTTAACTTAGCCGCAGATAGCGACAGCAAGATGATGCGACCTCTAGTTTGGTCGCAGTACCCTTTCGTGGCATAGACGTGGTTTGGTCTATTTTTCGCGACTTTATCCCGTTGTCAGGGCGACCTCGATGAGTGCATCTTGTCTGTAGTCATCTGCCAAAGTAATCACCGACATTTCTAGCCTCGGGCCGTGCAAAGGTACATTCCCTCGGATTTTCTATTTCAACCTCTGGCCAGGCCACCTTTTGCGTATTACGTTAAAAAATGCAGTTTCCAGGACTCCCTTGACATCGCATTATTGAGCTTATCTTCACGTTTGTGGCAAAGTGCCTGACCAGTAAGTCGGTTTATCTGCAACCACGTAGGCATTGTATGTAAGTAGAGTTTCGAGACTACCATTAAATCAGTAATGGTAGTCCAGTCCTTCATCGGTTTAAAAGAAATATGGTGGATACATCTCATGGTACCGATTTACTGGAAATCTCGAAACTCTACTTAATTACGAAACATAAGTAGCGTACTCGATTGTTATAGCAAAGGTACGTTTGCTTCATCGACAATCCCACCAAAAGGATGTGATATGGCAGAAGGCCTGACCTTCCTTGAAATTCACATCTGCCCTGTTAACGTATCAAGTTCACATGCTCTACTATCACAGTTCGACTCCCGCTGGGGGTGTTGATAAGACCGATGCGAGGTCGAAACTGCAGTCCACTCCAGCCGGGGTGAGAACCACTTTTGGCAGAGCAAGGCTATGTGAAATTGAATGGAAACGTCAGCTCAACTCATATGATTGTGGGAAAATGCTTCCTCTACCAGTCCTTCATCACCTTAAACGAAATTGGGTGAATACATCTCATACTACTGATTTACTGTTAGTCAT